TCCTGGTGGGAAATCTGAAGCCGTGTCCAAGAATTGCTTCCCCCTCAAGGTCCCTAGAAGGGGAAGCACAGCAGACAATTCACGAAGTGTCTGAGGCAGAGCCACGCCAGCTGTTAGGGCAGGAGCTTCCGAATTTGGGAGGGGTTCCCCTGGCAACTTGGAAAAAACAGAAGAGCCTAAGAGACGCTGTACGTGTTCCAGGGAGGGATGGAAATTCTACAGAAGCGAGTGAGCTGCTGCTCTGTCTCCCATTTTCTCAAACAGAAGGAAGTTTCTGGAGCAGTTACCTTCTGAGGAGAGAGAGTGTGTGTGTTGTGGAGATTCACAGTGCCCTTTTATTTGCAAAGGGCAGTTTCCAAAATGTGCAGGTATCAGGGCCAGTTTTAGAGCATTACCTTGCCCCCCCATCTCCATCGGGACCGCCTCTCCTGGTATATCCCACGGAGTACAGGATCAGGTTTAAGGTGCTGGTTTTAACCTTTAAAGCCCTATACGGCCTAGGACCCTCGTACGTACAGTACCGACTCTCCTGGTATGCCCCATGGAGGACCTTATGGTCCTCAAACAAAAACATCTTGGAGATCCCGGGCCACAGGGAGCTTAGGCTGGCCTCAACCAGAGCCAGGGCTTTTTCGGCTGTGGCCACGATCTGGTGGAACGCTCTGTCACAAGAGACTAGGGCCCTGCGGGACTTGACCTCTTTCCGCAGGGCCTGCAAGACAGAGCTGTTCCACCAGGCCTTTGGCCAGGGCACAGTCTGACCCCCTCCTTCTGTAATCCTCACAGAACTCTGGCCCAATGGTTGCCATGGATTTGATTTTGAATTGATTTTAGAATGAATTGATTTTAGAATGCTGTGTTACTTTTATTGTTGTTAGCCGCTCTGAGCCCGGCTTCAGCTGGGGAGGGCGGGATAGAAATAAATTATTATTATCATTATCATTATTATTATTAAGACCATCTCTGTCAGTGAAGGCTGCTCCATGAGGAAGAGAGGGGTTGTTCAGGGCTGTCTTAAGCATATGCGGCGCCGGAGTGCAAAGATCTGCCGCCGCCCGCCCAGGTTGCCCAGTCCCAGGTGTGCAGGAGGGCAGAGCCGGCCAGCCAGCTGCCTTAGCGTCTTGTTGGCTTGGTCGCCCCCGAACCTGCGGTGCAGAGGCGCCTGCAGAAGAGCCCGCTGCGGCGTTCCAACCGACAGGCAGGCTCTTCCCCGGACTCAACTCTCGGGCCCTGGACTCTCGGCCTGGCACCCCTGAGAGTCTGGCACCCGGGTGCCCCACACCCCTAGCGCCTATGGGTAAGACGGCCCTGGGGTTGTTGGCAACTGTGTGTCTCAAGAGACAATGGAGTGTGCCTCCGGAGGTGAAGTCTGCATTAGCAGCACCGAAGTTAGCTCCCCAGGGTGCAAGCCTGGGCAAAGCGTATGGCATGCGTGTTTTACTGGAAAAGGCTTTCCTCTTACACTAAAAGGCTTTCCTCTTACACTGACCCTGATAAAGGGCTGATTACCGTATTTTTCACTCCATAAGATGCACCTGACCATAAGACGCACCTAGAAACTGATTTGTAAAAATGTTACATGGGGGGGAAAATATGAGAGAGAGACATTGAACACACTTTTGTAAATCAAGAAAATCTTTAATAATAATAAGATTCATGGTGCTTGCTGCATGTTTTCAGGAAAGAACGGAAGGTTGTAAGCCGTTAGTCATAACACAAGCAATCATTCAGAAGAACCAAACCAAAGCACATGGCGGCCTTGTTTAGAACATCAGAGCTGGATTCTTTAAAAGGGCGAGAGAGAACGAGTTATAGCCCTAACTCCCTTGGTTGCTATTACCAGCGGATCTGGCACCAGAGCTATAAAAGCATCGGTGGCAAAGGTTGTTTATGATGCTAAATTGTTTAGAACACTGAAAATATGTTCCCTCTCTCCAGGTTTTCTCCCAGGACTCTGGAGGAGGAAGGAGCGAGTTTCAGGTGCTGCCGCTAAACACAGACAGATATGCTCTGCAGGCTCTTCTGTGAAGAGACAAACAAATCAAAGTTTGGGGCTGACGTGACCCATAATTCTGTGTCTGCAAAACGTGTCTGCGCATTGTCTGCTTTTATTTCAAAGGAAAACAGCATGTACAGTGGTACCTCAGGTTAAGAACTTAATTTGTTCTGGAGGTCCGTTCTTAACCTGAAACTGTTCTTAACCTGAAGCACCGCTTTAGCTAATGGGGCCTCCTGCTGCCACTGCGCTGCCGGAGCACGATTTCTGTTCTCATCCTGAAGCAAAGTTCTTAACCTGAGGTACTATTTCTGGGTTAGCGGAGTCTGTAACCTGAAGCGTCTGTAACCTGAAACGTCTGTAACCTGAAGCGTCTGTAACCCGAGGTACCACTGAAATATCTGAAAGCTTTGCCCACATACATTCAAGCCTTAATGACGACGAGGAGGAGGAGGAGGTGGAGGAGGTGGAGAAGAAGAAGAAACTAGCAGGGGAAAGGTTGTTTTGGACAACAGATATGGGCACCATGCTGACCTTAGGCCAGTCCTGACTAGGAAACTGGTGGCACCAGAATGTATCCTTGCTGATGCCCACCCCATGCCCTTATTTTTCCATGTTCTGCTTTATTTCTGGTCTTCAGAGTTCTGCAGGAAGGAAAAGAGGTTTCAAAAAATTAATTGCAAGAGGCATTTAAATGGAAGAGTAAGTTTGCTTGGAGCAGCAGATAGTTAAAGCACCCATCTCCCAGTCCTCTCCTCACAAGCCCGTCTGAAACTTGCTGCTCTTTGCTTGATCTGCAGGAAGCTCAAGGTTTTCCACAATACCTCAGTTCCCTGTTCTGCCAACAGCAATGATGGATTTGAAGGCCACAGCCAAGGAATGTGTTTTGCGGTTTCCACCTGGGCGACTTCAGCTCCAAAGCATCCCGAGTTCATCTGGGAGCACCGGAGGGAGTGTTTTTTCACTTCCCGGCCAAGTTATCTCGGCCAGAAAAGAGTTTGGTCGCTAGGGTGAGCCAGGCATGATGCTTGTAGGCCTAATCCACACTGTACCTCCGCTTGAAGAGGAGATGGACGTCACACAGCTACCCCGTTTCCTTCCTCAAAAAAGCAACCGACAAAAATGAGATGGGGACAAGGGACCATCTAGGCCACATTCACACCATGTTTACAAAGTGGTACCTTATTGCTTTAAAAACACTGGCTCCCCTCAAACAATTCTGAGAGCTGTAATTTGCTGTGGGTGCTCAGCGTTGATGGGAGACCTCTATTCTCCTCACAGAGCTCTAGTTCTCAGACCTCATTGGAAAGAGGTGTTGTTAAAACACTCTGGGAATTGTAACTCTTGTCTTTGCTTAAGCAGCAGCACCAGCACCCTATAAACCAGGGGCCACCAACCTAAGGCCCATGGGCCGATAGTGGCCCATGGAGGTCGTTTGACCAGCCCACGAGCCGCCCCCAAACTGAGCTGCCCGCTCACGTACTGCGCTAAACCGGCGCAGTGCGGCAACTCGCTTCCGCGATGCTGGAAATTGTGTCTGCGTACGTACAGACGCCGACAATTGCGGGGATCCAGCCCACAGATGGATCTCCAGGGGACCAATCCAGCCCAGGCAAGATAAACCTTGCTGACCCCTGCTATAAACCCTCCTGTGCTGTTCTGCCTGGCCTTTGGTTTGGGCTCAGTCTGGCCCTTGTTTCCCTCCCCTTATGGTTTTGATCTATGGGCTACTTTTAAAATGAGGCTGCATTTTAAATTGCATTTTAACCTGTATATTAAATTGGTTTTCCCCCCCTATTATGTTTTTACTGTAATTTTATTGGTGTTAGCCGCCCTGAGCCCAGCTCTGGCTAGGGAGGGCAGGGTATAAATAAAATTTATTATTATTATTATCATCATCATCATTATCATGGCTTGAGATAAGCTTTCTGCTTGGGGCTTCAAACCCCAGAATCTGCCCAGATTCAGCTTCATCCTTCTTTTCTCCTTGCGAAAACACGCTGTTTGATTCCATCCCCAATTTTAGTTGGGGTTTTTTTAGATGTAAACCGGCCAGCTTTATCTATATCAGGCACGCCCAACTCCCAAGAGACTGCGATCTACTAACAGTACAGTGGTACCTCAGGTTACATACGCTTCAGGTTACAGACTCCGCTAACCCAGAAATAGTACCTCGGGTTAAGAACTTTGCTTCAGGATGAGAACAGAAATTGTGCTCCAGCGGCACAGCAGCAGCAGGAGGCCCCATTAGCTAAAGTGGTGCTTCAGGTTAAGAACAGTTTCAGGTTAAGAACGGACCTCCGGAACGAATTAAGTACTTAACCTGAGGTAAGGTAAAGTAAAGGTACCCCTGCCCGTACGGGCCAGTCGTGTCCGACTCTAGGGTTGTGCGCTCATCTCACTTAAGAGGCTGGGAGCCAGCGCTGTCCGAAGACACTTCCAGGTCACGTGGCCAGCGTGACAAAGCTGCTCTGGCGAGCCAGCACCAGCGTAGCACACGGAAACGCCGTTTACCTTGCCGCTATAAAGCGGTACCTATTTATCTACTTGCACTTAGGGGTGCTTTCGAACTGCTAGGTGGGCAGGAGCTGGGACCGAAAGACGGGAGCTCACCCCATCACGGGGATTCGAACCGCCGACCATACGATCGGCAAGTCCTAGGCACTGAGGTTTTACCCACAGCGCCACCCGAGGTACCACTGTATAAAAGAACTGGCAGTGATCTACCCATTGTTGGGTAGATTTTTTTTAGGGAGTTTTAGGGGTTTAATACTCTGAAGAAATAAAGGAGAGGGGACCATTTCAGTTCCAGAACGTTTCTAGAACGTTTCAGTCCTTCGCACCTTCGTTCCACTTTCAAAAGCACATCTTTACAAGTCATAAAAGCATATATACCTATAAAAAGATAGCAAGCTGAATTTGGCAAGCTGCCGTCATATTTCCTTCGCTCCCATGCAACAACAGCACAGACAGAGCCCTACTTAAAAACTAGGACAAAGTCTTAAGACGAGAGGACCACGTTTATTTCAACTGACAGAAGTAACAGCATTGTGGGTCATCAGTGGGGAAGTATGAAAATTGGCATATAAATAGTTTTAGCACTCTGGAAGGATCCCTTCATGTATATAAAACCAAGTTTACGCCATTTTTAAAGAAGTAAGCAGATTAAATGCTATTCTTAACAACAACAAATTATGAGACACGTTTAACAGCCGTGAAAGATTTAAGTTCCTTCTCAACAGCTTTCATGTATATAAACCTGCAATGGTTTAAGCAATGCATCTAACAGAAAACATATGATAATTCACAATTGCAACGTTTTCCATGCACAAAATAGATGCCCTTATAACTACATACATAATAAAGACATTTCCCCTTATATTCAGGCTGTTAAGAACATGAACCTGCTTCTATTGCACTTAAATCCTGCACAAATGAGCTTGATAGAACAATTGGGCCTATCTACATGGTCAACCCTACGCCAGTTTCATGGCAGAGTAACTGTCATGGCTTCCCCTCTCAAAGGATCCTGGGAAATGGCAGCCAGGAGTAGAGGTGAATGTTCTGTTAATAAGTCCCTCCCCCTCCCAACCTTGTACAAAACCTCAGCTCTCAGGAGAACGTGTTAAACCAGTCTAAGTACACAGCAGAAATATAGCCCAGAGTAGAAAAGGTGGCTGAAATTTATCGAGAGAAAATGCAAACCTAATCACAAATGGGGCTAATTTCTAGTATTCCAAGAACACTGAAGAAGTTGCTTATCTTTCAGGTTCCAAATTGGTTTATAATTACCTACAGAATGATTTAAATCAAAGAAGGGGGAATTATTTTCTTGGGAAATGCTAGCTTTTGCTATATACTTATTTCAGCCTATGATTTCTAAAAAGAGTAATTTCCAGGATAAACACACAGCTGCAGGTTTCGTTTTGGTGTTTTTTTTCACAAGAAAATCTGTGCCTAGTTCCAAGCAGCCTTAGTGATGAGGAAACTGCAACTTTTCCCAGGTGCTGTTGAACTCCAACTCCCATCATCCCTTGCTTGTGCTGGCAGGGGCTGATGGGAGTTGGAGTCCAGCAATGTCCAGAGTGCCACAGGTCCCCCTCATCCATCTCTGCCTTCAGTTGAAAGTAGATGATTATTTTGCATATGCTCACCAGGAGCGATGCAACCTTGGGCAGATACAGAAGACTTAGTCAGGAGGCCAATGAAAATATATCCATCCATCTATCTATCTATCTATCTATCTATCTATCTATCTATCTATGACAGGTGGCAGGTGCAGGGAAAAATAACTTCCCTAATGGCTCATCTAGCCCATGACTGAGGGATCTCTTTGTATGTGGCATTTGTGTTAAGTTGTGGGTGAACATATCAGACGACACAGCGATTCTTCAAACAGCTCTTGTTTATTCACAGGCCAGGACAGAACTGAACTGAAGGTTTCAGTCAGCCTGCTTATATAGAGCTCCACTACAATGTAACTGTAACAATTTTCTAAAACTATCCAATCACTGAACGTCACTTTCGATCCCTTATTTGCATAACTATCTACAGTATCCCCCTGCTGGCCCAGGGTGAGAACTTCGGTACATAACAATTCGTGTTCATGGTCAATGTAGCAGTGAAGTCCCAACTACTGTGATAGTGGTAGTACATAGGAAGCTCCCTTATACCGGATCAAACCACTGGTACTGTCTACACTGACTGGCAACAGCTCTCCAGGGTTTAAGGCAGGAAGTCTTCCCAGCCCTACCTGGAAATGCGAGGGATCGAACCTGTGAGGCAGATGCTCTATCATATAGCTGCTCTTCCCACAAGAGTAGCAGGCTTTGCAAAGACCTAAGCCAGAGAACCTGGTGAGATGTTAGAACGGCTGGCAGAGGACCGGTCCATATGTCAAAGCATGCACAGGTTATTTTCATGCTCCCCAGGCATCATACAAAAACCCGCCTAATATTCTCAACAGGTGTTCTGTAGAGCAGTTGGTTTTAATGCTTTCAAGTGCAGTAACGTACCATAAGGCTCCCCCGCAGTTTGAAGTTAATCTGTTCCTGCGGTTCCTGCTGATCCAGGCAAATTTAATCATGCCAAACGACAGTCTGTTTCTGGTCAAATTCACGAAGGGGACTATTGCAGGACAAGGCTAAGATGCTGTCCCCAGCAACAGAAGCAGGGTGGGGCCTTCACAGCGCAGCAAACCTAGAGCTGCAATTGTTGTTCTGACACGACAGTAGCTTTGATACTGGCCCATTCTGAATTAGCATCAATCAGCAAACAGAATAGGTGGGTCGACAATGTTTCAGTTTACACCATTATCGCCTGAAAGGAAGGTACTTTTTTTACCTTAAAGCACCCAAAAGTGCTAGCTACATCATCCAGTTTTCAGGAAGCATATACTTCTTCGACTGCAAGTTGACATCCTACTTACAATGCCAGTTTTTCCATACTAAGGTGAGGAGACGTCCTGCGAAAGTGAAACATTTCAAAGCTCCAAGGGCTTTCTGGCAGTTCCCTCCCTGTGAGAAGCGAGGTTACAGGGAACCAGGCAGAGGGCCTTCTCGGTGGTGGCGCCCGCCCTGTGGAACGCCCTCCCATCAGTTGTCAAAGAAATAAACAACTATCTGACTTTTAGAAGACATCTGAAGGCAGCCCTCTTAGGGAATCAGATGGGTGGGATATTATTATTATTATTAATAATAATAATAATAATAATAATAATAGGCTGAACTGCAATCTTGCCCAGTTTGGCCAGGCAGGATATGAAGCAGCTGGGCTGGATTGGAGCCCCTTATAAACACTCTCTCTCTCTCTCTCTCCGCCCTCAATATGTCCTCTGCAGCAGAAGCAACACTGCTCTGCCAGGAACACTGTGTTGCTTCTAGAGCAAGACGGGCCAGCCTTCCAACTTCTCTAATAATAATTTATTATTTATCTGCCACCCATCTGACCGGGTTGCCCCAGCCACTCTGCCCCAGCTTGCAGGATATTACTAGAACCTCCATTATCCACCAACCAGTGCCTGGTGCAGAATTCAAGGATTCTGAGCCCAGAAATTCCTTCCGAGTTCCAGAACTCAGCTTCATGCAAAAATCCATTTAACAAAAACTTCCATTTACTGACAACGCAAAATTCCTTGCCAACCTTCCCAGCTTGCTCAGGCTTTTCTTCAATATAATTTAGGGCAGGATAGTTGAGCAGGCGAGAAGACGTTTTGTTGCTGCTCTCTGGGCACTGGAAATCTTTGTCAGTCTGTTGCAAATCCCCTATATTGTCTCCAGAAATACAAGGTTCCCCCAGACCAGTGTTTCCCAAACTGGGTCTCCAACTGTTTTTGGACTACAATTCACATCATCCCTGACCACTGGTCTTGTGGGCTACGGATGATGGGAGTTGTAGTCCAAAAACAGCCAGAGACCTAAGTTTAAGAAACCCTGCTCCAGACAAATCAAAATGGAAAAGGGGTGAATTTCTGCCAAAAATTACTTAGGGATTATTATGCATGATTTAAACTCCTGACAATTAGTCTACAGACAAATACATGCATGTGAAAGAAAGAAAGAAAGAAAGAAAGAAAGAAAGAAAGAAAGAGTGACAGAGAGAAATGTGACAATCAGAAATAGCAGCTTTATTGTATATTTGACCTCTCCAGTACATTACATTATAAATATATATCCATCCCTATATAGTAATTCAACAGATACATTTCCCCCCCTTATTTTTTGGCTTCATTAACGTAGGAGTCCAAGGAAAACCCATTGCACTCGTGACATACTTGACAGCTACTCACATACACACACACAAATACTGCACCATTAAAACTTCATTTAGTACGACGCCCCTTTTTTTGCATCTAGGTCTCCTGTTAATAAAATGCCTTTTTAAAATCCCGCAGAAGACCTCAGTAAGCCATATGACTGGGCATTGTTAAGGAAACCCATGACAAGCACAAGTCCCGTTCGGATATATTTAATCTTTCCTTAGACTGCAGGGGCAAGAGAACAGTCCATTTGATCTCTTCAGAAACTGAGTCCACTGGGGGCGCGATGCTCCCACCATCGCAGAAACCGTCCTTCAACTAGTCTTTGAGAAGCCCAAGTTTCCGCAGCGCCTCTCTCCTAGCCTCTTCCGTAGACCCGCGTCCAGAGAACTGTACAGTTACGCCTTGCGGTCTCAATCCAGACGGTCTGGGCAGCGACCCAGACCTCCTCCTCATTTCCAGGCTGAGGTCCGGTAGCCGGTGGTCGCAAAAGCTCTTGGCGGCGTTTTGCCGAGCGGGCTTGCCATCGGGGAGATCAGCATCCGGTTTGACCGTCACTGTTTTGCTCACACTGGGGAAGTGGCTGGTTTCCCTTCTCAAGACGTCGTGGATGTTTCGGTAGCCGTTGGACAAGGGCTGCTCTGGCCTTTTGTCTGTCGGCGTGGGAAGATCTGAGGACTGGTCCAGCGGGGCTGGTCCAAGATTTCTGTCCACCAAGCTAAGCCTACTCAGGGCCTCGTGTCTCGCTTGCTCCGACGGCAAATCCCGCAAAGAAGAGCTTCTGCTCTGTCCTGACAAGTCGTGCTTCTGAAGTCTCTCTTCCAGCTCGCTTATGAAGTAGGGCGAGCCGTTGACATTGGCCAACACCCTGGCCTTGCGCTCTTGCACGTTGACGGCAGCTCGGGAGATAGTTTTGCTGAACTCCCTCTCACCAACGTTGGTGATGCTGATGTTGCTGGGGAACCTTTGGGGCTTGGGGGCAGTTGGGGGCGGCAGAGCTTGCTTGAAGGCAGAGAAACGCTCTCTGTTGCGCAGCGGGGAAGACGAGGGCGTGGTCCTCCCCTCCATAGACCTCCCTTCCTTTGGAGAGGTGGGAGAGAAGGGGGTTCCCTCTGCCTGCTTCTCGGATATTTTCTGAGCGATGACGAGCGGGGTTGGGATACAGCGGGCGAGTTTTGGGTGCTGAACTGTGGGCGCGGCAGGAAACACCTCATAGATGGGCAGCGGTGGAGCTGATGGCAACACAGGGAGAGGGATGGCAGCCTCAGCGCAGGTGTCCTCAACATTATATTTTGGCTTCAGTGTATCTAGTTTCCTAGCCTCCTCTGGGGCTAGAAAAGAAAGGCGAAAGTAGCAGATTATTAGAACCGTTTCCTAGACCGGTACATCTGGAACCATGGAAGTGACAGCGTTTGTCAGAGAATTTGTACCCCGTCAGAAGCTTCCATAGAGGGTGGCTAGCAATATTGATCAGTGGTTCCCAAACCTTTTTCAGACACTGTCCCCTTGGTTCCATAAACTCACCCACAGTGCCCCCTACCCTACCCAATAAAAAGCGTTACAGTGGTACCTTGGTTCTCAAACGCCTTGGTACTCAAATGCTGAAAACCCGGAAGTAAGTGTTCCAGCTTTCGAACGTTTTTCGGAAGCCGAACATCCGATGTGGCTGTTGGCTATTGTTTCCTGGGCGCCTGCACAAATCAGAAGCTGCGCCTTGGTTTTTGAACATTTCAGAAGTCAAATGGACTTCCGGAACGGATTACGTTTGGTGCTTTTGTTTTTGCTATTTATTTTGCGTTTTTGTTTCTGAAGCTTTTTCGGTTAATTTGTTTTTGTGACTGTGTCGAACCCAGTTCAGCTACTGATTGACTGTGTGACTGTGGAAATGGATAAAATCCCACCATTCAAACAATGACTATCATCAATGCAGGTAAGAAAAGAATTTAATTTTTATTTTTATCATCTACAATACTGTCTTATTTATTTTATAGTACAGTGCATTGATTATTGCTTTCATTTTATGGATCAATGGTCTCGTTAGATAGTAAAATTCATGTTAAATTGCTGTTTTAGGGGTTGTTTTATAAAAGTCTGGAACGGATTAATCCATCTTGCATTACTTTCTATGGGAACGCGCGCCTTAAAATGGATTAAGTTTGAGAACGAAGGTACCACTATATTCAGAATAGTGGCTTGCACAGCCCTCTAAGCAAGATAACAACACAATAAAATTCAAAACCATAACAATTAATTTCACATTTATTCAAAATCCAGTTACTCATAAAAATGTAGAGTTGGAAAGGACCTCAAGGGTCATCTAGTGCAATGTCTTGCAATGCAGGAATCTCAACTAAAGCATCCATGACAGATGGCCATCCAACCTCTGCCTTACATAAAGATAAAGGTACCCCTGACCGTTAGGTCCAGTTATGGACGACTCTGGGGTTGCGGAGCTCTTATCGTTTTATAGGCCGAGGGAGCTGGTGTTTGTCCACAGACTGCTTCCGGGTCATGTGGCCAGCATGACTAAGCCGCTTCTGGCGAACCAGAGCAGCGCATGGAAATGCTGTTTAGCTTCCCGCCGGAGTAGCACCTATTTATCTACTTGCACTTTGACATGCTTTCGAACTGCTAGGTTGGCAGGAGCCGAGCAACAGGAGCTCACCCCGTTGCGGGGATTCGAACCGCCGACCTTCTGATCGGCAAGTCCTAGGCTCTGTGGTTTAACCCACAGCGCCACCCGCGTCCCCTGCCTTACATAATTAAAACTATTTACTTTAATTAAATGGATGAACTTGATCTCGTGATATCAGCTTTTCAGAGTCTTATAGTCAGTGACATTTCCAGCACAACAGATTAAAAAAATGCAGTGGTTAACAGAGCACAAAATGATTAAGATGCCCCACCTCCCCACACCCACTCAAAACAAAAAACCCACATTAGCACAATCACCATTACAATTAGCCTGAGAAAAAATGCCCTCCCAGAAACAAGAAGTGATGAAATATTTTTATGCTGTGAACCACCCTGAGATTTACCAATGAAGGGCGGTACAGAAATAAAATAAAATAAAGTAAAATGGAATGAAGACTGCTGTCAGCAGCCACAATTTACGGCTGCCTACTATGCCAAACCATGGAACCGATCCCCCTGCCCCAAGGGTAACCTAGACCTTACTTTGCTCCACAAGAAGGTCACCTCTAGATGGAGGAATGAAGAAGCCTCTCTTTCTCCCTCTCCAGGAGAAGGTCCACTTGGCTCACTGAGAGCAGACTCACATGCCTATCAATACACTAAACCAGACCCTGCCCCATCCAGTTTTTACCTGGTTCCATGTCTCCGCTAGGATCACAGTCCTGAATGCTGCTTTCCAGCACTGATTGGACCAGATCTATGATGTCTTCAGACTCCGACTGGCTGGACATGTTTTCTTCCATTGACCTCGGAGAGTGGCAGTGGATGCCGCTGTCATGGAGAGCTTGTTCCTCCAAGTCATCTTCCAAGGCATCGATGGTTTCTTCAAAGAAGAGGAGGACGTCTTTTTCCTCGTGAGTGAGGTATTTCAGGGTCTCGTCGTCGTCCTGAGGGTCAACAACAGAGAGCGAGGATTTGTGTATATATATATCTATATGTTAAGATACATGTTTCCAGCCAGTCTTCAAACCCGAATCCTGAGCGATTCTTGAAGTAACCAAGAATCAGACACAACTCTGCTTCCTTGAAAATGCAACATCTCACCTTCTTCCAACCAAGGTAAGACTCATCTGATTATGGAACCAATGCGATTGATAGTCTCTGGTCTCAGGCTCCAGTTGCAACCATGTAGAGATTTTTGGATGCCATACATGGTTCACACCCTCCTCAGTTAATCCGTACAACAACCCTATGAGATAGGTTAAGAAGCTGTATCTGGCCCAAGGTCACCCAGTAAGCTTCACGACTGAATGGGGATTTGAACCCCTGATCTCCCAGGCCCTAGTCCAACCCTCTAACCACTACACCACCCTGGCTTCCCAGACTCCTTCTGCATTGGGGCAGCTCTATTAATTAAGTAGGTAAATAAATAGGGGGGAAACAAAATGTCACCTAGAGAGGGATCTGAAATATTTTCCTTGAAGCTTTATTCGTTTTACAGTATTCTGGGTTGTTTCATTTGACGTTTTAACGTGTTTTCAACCGCTTTGAGATTTGTTCTTTAAAATATAGAGCGGTATAGAAATGAAAGGAAATACTAATAATAACAACAACAACAGTGAATTTCATAGTGGGGTATGGTGGCTAGGTTGTGGCAACCATAACCTAGGTTCAAGGTGACATTTGGCGATTGGCACAGTATCTGAGTTTCTAACACTGCCTGGTCCAACCCTTCTCTGGACACAAAAGGCAACATTACACATTAAAGCAGCCCAATCTCACCGTGAGCAACCAGAAGTTTATACAGGTTGCCAGGAGTTCTCCAGGATTTTAGGCACATGGCATTCCCAGAAAGCGGCTACACCTCAAGCTCTCTGTCATTTATGTGGTTGGATAACATGTGGTTGGATAACAATATCTTTCTATCTATCTATCTATCTATCTATCCTTGACTTAGACAGAACAAAGGAAAACCCCAAGGTTGCTCTCCTGGGAATATATCCTGAAGACGTTGGGTGGAGAGACTATTATTAGCAGGAGGACCTGCTGTTATCTGGAGTTGTAGAGCAAACTTGGCTGTCATTAAGTCCTCAAACACCAGCAGGTTCTGAAGAAACCTCCTTCTGAGTCACCACTCGCTTTCCAAAACTGCTTTAGGCCCGAAACCCATGCATAGCAGATCCATCTCAAATTTTTAGGACAAAAAAATTAATAAATGTCTGCTTGGAACAGAAATAAATAAATAAGCAGGGGGTTGGACTATATGGCCCTTGGGGGTCCCCGGCATCTCTACAATTCCATGATTCTATGAAAAGGGGCCTTGGCTGAAGGCAGGGATGCAGCCCTCCTCCAGATGTTTGTTGACAGTCGTAGCACAAAGAGTCACAGAAACGTTTTGGGAGGGACCTCGAGGGTCATCTAGCCCAACCCCCCTGCAATGTAGGAATCTTTTTGCCCAGTTTGGGATTCGAACCCATGACCCTGAAATAAAGAGTCTGGTGTTCTCCCTGACCACTGACTGTGTCAGGCCCACCACTGGGAAGGAACAAGTGGATTTGTAACCTAGCTAACCCTTCCCCTACCTGGTGCCCTTTGCAAATTACTGGAGTTGGGAGTTTCGGTGCTCAGGCACCGATCTAAAATAAGACAGCCACCCTCACCACCGCATGACAGAAAGGGCAGCGCAGCGAGGGTGTCAGAAGGGGGCAGTGCCAGCCCCACCCATGGGGTAAGGTGAGATGCCTTGGGTGGCCAACTGCAGTGCACTCCTTGGAAGCAGGATCTGCCCACTTCTTGGCAGGCCGTCCCCCAGCAAATGCCACATCTACAGTAAAGGTAAAAAGGTAAAGGACCCCTGGATGGTTAAGTCCAGTCAAAGGGGACTATGGGGTTGCAGCGCTCATCTCGGTTTCAGGCCGAGGGAGCCGGTGTTTGTCCACAGACAGCTTTCTGGGTCATGTGGCCAGCAGGACTAAACCGCTTTTGGCGCAATGGAACACTGTGACGGAAGCCAGAGCGCACGGAAACGCCGTTTACCTTCCCGCCACAGTGGTACCTATTTATCTACTTGCACCGGCATGCTTTCGAACTGCTAGGTTGGCAGGAGCTGGGACAGAGCAACAGGAGCTCACTCCGTCGTAGGGATTCGAACCGCCGACCTTCTGATTTGCAAGAGGCTCAGTGGTTTAGACCACAGCGCTACCTGCGTCCCTCACATTTGAAGTAGCCTCTTGGTAAATAGGAGGCACTCCTGGTCTCCTCCCAGCCTTGTTCCCAAGACAGATCTTCACTCACCCCTTCTTTTTTGTGGTTCACTGCAGGTGCCAAATTATCCTTGGCCAGCCCTAAGAGGGGGAGATCAAAGACTCTGCAGGCACCAGAGGATGTTTCCAAGGCATTATGCTTGAAAACAAGTCCATTACTAGGGCAAAGCCTGAACCAAAAGATTCACATCTTTTGCCCTTAGCAAGGCAGTTCTAAGGGTACATTCTGCGAAGGGAGATCCAAAAATCCAATACTGGCATGGCATTTCCTGCAAATGCAAACATTCTGCCATTTTGCTGCAGTGCAGGTTGAGAACTGTAGCATCTAAGAACTTGAGCTTGACTTTTCCCTCCTCCCTTCTATATTTTTTCCTTGTGTCATGTATTTAACATTTAAGAGGAATTTAAGATTATCTCTGTTTACCCAGGCATTTCATTGCTGAAGGATACAGTTCCTGGCAATCCTGAAATTATTAGCTGTGAGAGCAAGTGATTGTTTTTAGAAGGTTTTTAAAAAGACAGTTCAACTGCGTTGTTCTATTACTGACATGTTCGCCACCCTGTGTTCCCTTCAAAGGGAAACAAATAAATACTCTTTTTACATTGTGAGTTGAGTGCTGGGACCATATTAGAACCAATCTTTGTAAGCCACTCTTGTTGGCTAGAGAGCAGTTTATTTATGCTCTAAACTATTTTTAAAATAATAATAATAATACACACTACTAAGAAGTAAGGTCTCATTTCAAGAGAAGGCAACTTGCCCCATGCATTTCAGACAGAATTCTGCTCAAACAATTTGCCACCGGAAATCTCTTAATTCCAGGTGAGACTTTAAAACCACTACCATCCATCACTGCAGCACAATTAAGTTGTTCCCACCCACATAAACACTACCTCAAAAAAAAAAAAGCATGGCTTACCAAAAAAACAAAACACAAAATCTGGGGCTGCAGCCTAATTAAAGGATTAGAAAAAACGGGAAGAGCAACCTTCCTCACCTCAGCCAAAGACAGCTTTTCCTTACGCATCAGGTGTTTAAGACAAATCACTCAGAAACAGCCGACAATTGTCCCAGGTACAACTCAATTGCGGTTTTAAGTTGCACATTCAGACTTTTAATAGCTGCTCTTAAAGGTATTTTACAAAAGGCAAGGCAGCTGGGTGGAAACTTGCCCTGAGGTAAGTTCAGCTGTGGAATCCTGGCTCACAAATCCCTGTGGATTTGCGTCTTTCGAAGGCGCTGCCCAGCATCTGCCTCATGGCCCCCGCATTTATTTAGCTGAATGTCTCAACCCTGCTGAAAAAAGATTTTGCGTTTACACACTAGACATTTTCTTTGGAACAGGGCTGGGCATCTGTGCCGTCAATTATTTTTTAAAGCCTATGTTTCGTTAAAGGCAGAAGAGGCATATTGAACAACAAACCCGATGTGATAATGACAAAACACAAATCAAATTTAAGTGGTATCGAGAAACAATGGCATTTACCGTATTTTCCGGCATATAAGACGACTGGGCATATAAGACGACCCCCCAACTTTTCCAGTTAAAATATAGAGTTTGGGATATACTCACCGTATAAGACTACCTCTCTTCCAACACACACCAAATAAAAATTAAAAAAACAAGTCTCCAGTCCGGCTCAGAAATCCGCTCCACTTCCCAGTGGTTGGCGGCTTCTGGGGCCAATTTTCAAGCGTATTTCTGCCTCATCTAGAGAGCCTGGTGTCCTCTGATTTAATTTGCTGTCGTTTTATCCTTTGGTGGGGAGCTGCTGCTGTAGCCGGCGTATAAGATGACCCCCAACTTTTGAGAAGATTTTCCTGGGTTAAAAAGTAGTCTTATACGCCAGAAAATACAGTGTTTTTCAAGTGTGCTGTGACCACAACTGTAATGGTCTCCAGCCCACAGCAGCCTTCCTCAGCTCTGCTCACAGAGTTACGTTTGTGCAGGTGAGGTATTTGAAAAAAGCCACGTAGCCAGTAAATAAATGAACTAAGTCTTTAAAGCAGCATCGTGGCACTTTAAACAGTCATGGCTTCCCCCAAAGAATCCTGGGAAGAACCCTAGTCTCAACCTAACCTACCTCGAAGGGTTGTTGTTTTCCTTGGAGGAAAAGTTGGGGCATCAATGGATAAGAGAGGCAACAACCAGGATGAAAACCAGGCTACCTACCAGTGCCGAACATCTTCTCCTTGGGCGATTCTTTCCGCTCTCCAGGTGATGCTTTTTTTCAAAGCTACCGAACTGGCACTGGGGAGGGATCTCGCAGACCATTCCCGAGTAATCCGACATCACGCTCCTAGGCATCCCACCCAAAAAGGGGGACAGCGCGCTCCTTGAAACGGGGGGGGGGGTGTTTCTCTCGTCAAGCGGCGTGGAGAGATGAGAAACTGCTCACACAAGAAGACTCTTGGGCATCTCTGCACAGGATCGAGAAGGAAGAAAGAGGTGGCTGGTTACGAAAGCCGGACGTCTGGTGGCTCCAATGCTGAAATGAGATTACAAATGATTTCAGTCAGTGGCTCTGGGAGTTTCTGCTAGGCTTCTGCCCAGCTGATGTTCCTGTTAAACCTCCCACCCCAAACATCATACAGAAGAGGCATCCCTCAAGCCATTGCTTCTCATCGATTTCCCCCAACAACTCTGTACTCTACAGAGGTTCCCCACCCCTCATACAAAACCCACAGACCACCCCAGCATCGGTTTAATGTTGCCAGCCCCCCTGGGCAGTGGTATATTCAAAGGCAGGGTAGGAACGCTTCGGATAAATTGTTGGGTTGGCATCGATCTCAAGAGACAATGGAGTGAGCCTCCAGGGGTCAGTCAGTCAGTTTTATTGCACATAGCCAAAGGCTGCCGCAGTGTACACAGAATCATTCAACGATTAAAAGAAAATATACTGGACTGATACAATATTATCAAGACATTACGTACTCTAAACAGAGCTATAAAAGTACCTTAATATACAAATTAAGACATTAAACAATAAAGTTTATAAGCTAAAATTATCACATGGCCACTAATATAGTAAAAAATATAGGGGGCCGCCCCGTGGCACAAGGCCAGGCTGTGTGTATGGAGGTCCTGGGTAAGGTAAAGGACCCCTGAATGGTTAAGTCCAGTCAAAGGCAACTACAGTGGTGCCTCGCAAAACGAAATTAATTCATTCCACGAGTTTTTCGTCTAGCGAATTTTTCGTCTTGCGAAGCACGGTGTCGGAAAAGTTTTGGAAAAGCTTCAAAAATCGCCAAAAACCTCAAAAAAGGCTACCACACCGCGTTCTATGAGTTGCTCCTCGACGTCAAGTTGCAACTGTATTAACGGTGTTAAGAAAAAGGAAACAAACTTGCAAAAAACGCAAGACGTTTTTGTCTTGCAAAGCAAGCCCATAGGGAAATTCGTCTTGCGAAGCAGCTCAAAAACCGCAAAACCCTTTCGTCTAGCGAGTTTTTTGTCTTGCGAGGCATTCGTCTTGCGGGGCACCACTGTATGGGGTGCAGCGCTCATCTCCGCTTTCAGGCCGAAGGAGCCGGCGTTTGTCCACAGACAGCTTTCCAGGTCATGTGGCCAGCATGACTAAACTGCTTCTGGCGCATGGGACACTGTGATGGAAACCAGAGCGCACGGAAACGCCGTTTACCTGGGATGCCCAGATGACAAGACCCCCTCGCAGCCTCACTGATGTGGAAGGCAGAGCAAAATGTTTGGCACCAGCTTGGCTGTAGAAGTTGCCGGAAGGAGGCGTACAAGGCCCCACCCAACCGCCTTAGGGACTCCACTTTGGTTTTTGCGTAGAGTTTATTCCTTAGCCTTTTCTTCTCCCGAAGATAGCCTCCTTTCTCACAACATCTAATCTTTGGTACTTGGACTCGCTTGCTTTCCTCTCCCTTCCTCATCCCTTTTTTCCTTTTGTGTCGTATCTTTTGGGATTGTTTTAAGCCCAAGGGCAGGAACTGCACTGTTTTTTTATTGATTTGTAAGCTGCTCTGACAATGACAAACCTAGACAGCATCTTAAAAAGCAGAGACACCACCTTGCCAACAAAGTCCTGTATAGTTAAAGCTATGGTTTTCCCAGTAGCGATGCGTGGAAGTGAGAGCTGGACTACAAAGAAGGCTGATCGCCGGAGAATTGATGCTTTTGAATTATGGTGCTGGAGGAGACTCTTGAGAGTCCCATGGACTGCAAGAAGATCAAACCTATCCATTCTGAAGGAAATCAGCCCTGAGTGCTCACTGGAAGGACAGGTCCTGAAGCTGAGGCTCCAAGACTTTGGCCACCTCCTGAGAAGAGAAGACTCCCTGGAAAAGACCCTGATGTTGGGGAAGATTGAGGGCACAAGGAGAAGGGGACGACAGAGGACGAGATGGTTGGACAGTGTTCTCAAAGCTACCAACATGATTTTGACCAAACTGTGGGAGGCAGTGGAAGACAGGGGTGCCTGGCGTGCTCTGGTCCATGGGGTCACGAAGAGTCGGACACAACTAAATGACTAAACAACAACAACAACAAAGCTGCTCTGGGAGCCTTCCTGGCTGAGAGCAGGGTGCAGAGCTTTTAACGAAATAAACCAACACACACCCAGTTGCCTCCCCAAGCCTTTCAACGCAGCTCCCCAGCAGACGGGGCAACATGCCCCCTCCAACGGCTCACCCAGGGAGTGCCATTCCCACAGGTCTCGAGACCTAGGTCTGAACATTCCCACATTATGGCAATGTGCAATTCCACCCGTTCCCTGCATTTGCTCTTTAAAAATGTCGAAGCAGGGAAGATTCGCAGGGGAAGGAACTCACAACTCCTCCTACAATCTATTTCCCCCACGGGATGCCAAGACGATTGCCTAGGTAACCAGCCGGGGCTCATATTAAAGAGCATCCCTCCGAGATGGAACAGCAGGCTTGCAGGAAAGCTCTCCTCTCGACCTTCAGTCGCATTAAAAATTAAAGTTATTCGCAACAGGGCTTAAGCAGTGGGTCGCCGCTGAACTATTATGGAGGTATTAGAAGTGTCTGCGTACAAGGACCAGGATGGGGGAAGACAGGGGCCCTGCTGTGAGGTTTGTGGGGCAGGGGAAGTGGGTCACTTTGCCCCACACTAACCCAGCACTTGAAGCAACAGGCTTTGCTTCGGCACTCCAACCACCCACCCTGTAAAGGTAAAGGGAGCCCTGACCATTAGGTCCAGTCGTGGCCGACTCTGGGGTTGCGCGCTCATCTCGCTCTATAGGCCGAGGGACCTGGCGTTTGTCCGCAGACAGCTTCCGGGTCATGTGGCCAGCATGACTAAGCTGCTTCTGGCGAACCAGAGCAGCGCACGGAAACGCCGTTTACCTTCCCGCCAGAGTGGTACCTATTTATCTACTTGCACTTTGACGTGCTTTCGAACTGCTAGGTTGGCAGGAGCCGGGACCGAGCAACGGGAGCTCACACCGTCGCAGGGATTCGAACCGCCAACCTTCTGATCGGCAAGTCCTAGGCTCTGTGGTTTAACCCACAGCGCCACCCGCATCCATCCACCCTGTAGCTACTCACAACTCAGCCATGCTCACTCCACCGTGCCACTCACGGCTAAGAGGGTTCGGGATCTTAAGCCCATTTACAGCCACATTCAAGGACCATACCCAAGGGATGGCTCAGTCAGTAGAGCACGAGGCTCTTCATGTCAAGGCTGTGGGTTCGAGCCCCACATTGGGCTAAAGATGTCTGCGTGGCTCCCTACCAGAGAAGAATGGCAGATTAAACAGATGGGACTAAGCTGAAATGGCAAAAATGACCGGAAGAATTAGGAATCAGGAAGACCAAAAATTTTAAGAAGGAACGGGGAAGATATATAATTTCCCTTAAAAATCTTGCAAGCAATTAAAATTATTAGTAGGGTCGGAATGGTACTTGTAGTTGAATGTTGGACTATGGTTGTAATGGTGATTTAATAGAACTGGATTAATAGAGAAGATGCAGGAGGAAAAAAGATAACATAAGGACCCACAAAGGGGAGGAGGGAAGTCAATGGGAATTTATGGAATTCTCTTTTTGTTTTGATTGTTTGACGATTGTAAATTTCAAAATCTGAAAATTGTTTTTTAAAAAAAGACACCTGCATGCCAAGGGGTTGGACTAGAAGACCTTTGTGGGTCCCTTCCTCCAACTCTACGATTCTAAGATTCAAGGCCATCTTTTCTCTCGCACAGACACAAAATTCCTGGCTAGGAGCTCTCTTGAATGGAGCAATGCATTAGAATGCATTACCTGTGAAACAATACAATTTTAAAAAAGTACAAGAAGCTACATGAAGCAGAAATCACCTAAGCCGGTAGAGCACAAGACTCTTTAATCTCAAGAGTCCTGGGTTCGAGTTCAGCCATGAAACTCAACTGGTGGCCTTGGGCCAATCACTCACTCTCAGCCTCGCCTACCTCTCCCAGGGGTGTTGTGAGGTTAAAATGGAGAGGGGAAGAGAAGAAGGTACACCCGGCTCTTGAGCTCCTTGCAGGTAAGGCAAAGTGTGGATGTATTAAATAAATGAAAGATTACTGTTCAGCTCCTTTTAACCTTCCATTAACGTATTTCACATCCCGCTCTTCCCCATGGGCTCAGGACAGCCAAGAGCATTTCCCACACACCCTAGATGTTGATTGTTCTGTCCCCAAAGGGCCTGCCATCCAAGGCAAGCAAATCTAGCAATAAATGACATTTTGCTCCGGCCAAGATGCAATTTCTCATAAAACAGCTTGTTGCGCCTTCCAGGAAACTGGCATTAAGAGCTTTGCTGAATCAGCAAGTTACTCCCAAGCCTATTTTAAGGCAAGGCAACACTGAATGTTGAAGCTGAAAAAAAGGCAAAATCGGAAGGTGGTCAGCTGAGCATTGTGCTTATTGAAAGGACATGGACTCCCCACCCACCCACCCCCTTTTTCCTTTTTTTTGAGGGGGGACCCTTTTGATTCAAGCCCTGGCTTTAACGGCAGCAAGATCGGTTCTTCCAAACGGGAACTCATCCAAAGATTTAAGATAAGCAACATAGGCTTCAGTGAAACAAATATCGCTGAGTACATTTAAAAATAGATTCTAGTTTGGTGGGAAATGTTTTTGGGTGTGTTTTTGTTTTTAAGAAAGAAAGACATTGATCAACATTACAAGGACAGGACTATTCCAGAATGACAGCGGTACACACAGAAAGATGTCAGCAAAAATGAACGTTTTATAACTGTGGGAAGCAGGATTCTAGACTAGAAAGACCTTTTGGTCTAATCCGGCATGTTATGTCACTTGGAACAGGGAACAGGGCCACCTTCTTGTCTTTCATTGTGGCCCAATATTCATTCTTGGGGCCTCATCTGCCCCAACAATTGCTGTTGTGGCTTATCCCAAAAAATGTTGGGAATTATAGCTTGGGGAATGCACCAAGGATAAGGGATCCAAAGCACCCCTCATGGAACTACAGTTTCCAGGATTCTCTGGTGAGAGAGAATAATTGTTAAACCAGGCAGGTCCTTAAGGTGTGGTGGTAACACCTAAGGATGCAGGGAGGCATCTTAACTCAAGACCCTTCAGATGTTAGGTAAAGGTAAAGGGACGCCTGACCATTAGGTCCAGTCGTGACCGACTCTGGGGTTGCGGCGCTCATCTCGCTTTACTGGCCGAGGGAGCCAGCATACAGCTTCCGGGTCATGTGGCCAGCAGGACTAAGCCGCTTCTAGCGAACCAGTGCAGTGCACGGAAACGCCGTTTACCTTCCCACTGGAGCGGTACCTATTTATCTACTTGCACTTTGACGTGCTTTTGAACTGCTAGGTTGGCAGGAGCAGGGACCGAGCAACGGGAGCTCACCCCGTCGCGGGGATTCGAACCGCCAACCTTCTGATCGGCAAGTCCTAGGCTCTGTGGTTTAACCCACAGCACCACCCGCGTCCCCTCCAGATGTTGCTGGACTCCAACTCCCATCAGCCCCAGCCAGGATGACCAATGGTCAGGGACGATGGGAGTTGAAGCTCAGCAATATCTGGGTGGCTGCAGGCTCATCTTTAAAGCTATAGGAAAAAAACAATGTATAGGTGTCCACAATTGATGTGCAACAGCAACAGATTGCATCGCAGCGACCTGGCAGTGGCAGGAAAGGGGGGCAGGTGCGTAATGGGTTTGTGCGCACTCTGCCATTGCATGCAATTATCCATGGTTGCCTGTATCTTTTCAGCATCATGCTGCCGTGCAGACCATATGACCTATTTTCTCTCCAGCCTTTTGGCTGCAAAGCTCTAAGATCTGACTCAGTTCCACGAGTGTGATTATTGACAGACAAGGCCTATCGAGTTATTTGGGGTTTACTCCCCAAGCGTGCCATGGGACACAGGTGGCGCTGTGGTCTAAACCAATGAGCCTCTTGGGCTTGCCGATCGGAAGGTCGGCGGTTCGAATTCCCGCGACGGAGTGAGCTCCCGTTGCTCGGTCCCAGCTCCTGCCAACCTAGCAGTTCGAAAGCACGTCAAAGTGCAAGTAGATAAATAGGTACCGCTCCGGCAGGAAGGTAAACGGCATTTCCGTGCGCTGCTCTGGTTTCGCCAGAAGCGGCTTAGTCATGCTGGCCACATGACCCGGAAAAACTGTCTGCGGACAAACGCCGGCTCTCTCGGCCAGTAAAGCGAGGTGAGTGCTGCAACTGCAGAGTCGTTCGCGACTGGATTTAACTGTTAGGGGTCCTTTATCTTTACCCCCAATTGTGCCAGTCCAGGAAATCGGACAGCAGTCTGGAAAATGCTCGCAACACTAGTTATGATGACCAAATTCAATTTGCTCTGGTTTCTGGTCTTTCTGGATTTCCAGGCATAGCTTAGTGTTGAGAGAAGCACTCTTGAGTAAGCAAGCTGTACACAGGCCTGTAGCTAGCTACACACTGCTACACAATGTCATACTGCTTTTATTTTGTAGGATCATAGAACGATAGAGTTGGAAGGAACCCCAAAGGCCATCTAGTCCAGCCCCCTGCAATGCAGGGGTCACAGCTAAAGCTTTCCCGCCTTCGTGTGACCAGTGATGGAAATTCCACAGGTGCATTTTCCGCCTGGCATGGGTCCAACTGCGACCACGTGGAAATCTCTGGATGCCAGGATAGTGACTTGGGAAAGCAAAAGGTCACTTAGAGAAGGATCTGAAATATTTTCCTTGAAGCCTAAATTTGTTTTTATTCTGGATTGGTTTATTTGATATTTTAATGTGTTGGAAACCACTTTGAGAAATGGAATTAGAAATACTACTACTACTACTACTACTACTACTACTACTAATAATAATAATAATTCCATTGGTAAAAAAAAAGGCACCTGGACATTCCATTGTGGTCGCCATAACTTGGCAATTAGATTATATATCTGAGTTTCTAACACTGTGTGTGACCCATAGCTTTCTGCTGAAATCCTGCTACTTTTTCTATCACAAACATTATCACATATCAGACATATACACCCCTGCTATAGCACAAGAGTGTCCATCAGAACAGCAATAATATGGCAGCATTAATTATTATTATTATTATTATTATTATTACAGCTAATAATGCAGAATCATGTGTAGATAGCCCAGTTTGAATCCACCACTGAAACTATTATTGGGTCAGTTACAGGATGCAGAATATACCTGTCAAAAACAAACCATCCATCTGAAGGAACACTTATTCTTAAAGGGAATCGCAGTTGTCGTTTGGTCGTCTCTGCCAGTCATAATAAGCAGGAGAGCTGCCATATGTCCGGGAATTGGGCAGCAGAATGACGTTGGGGCGGATTTTTGCTAAATCGGCAAAATGTCCGGGGGGAACACGGGCACATGGCAGGGGATTTTCACTTTGGGGAATATGGCAGCCCTAGGTAACTGAGTGCCAGCAGCAAGGCCCCATCTTTAAAAATAAATAAATCATATTTTCCACGTGTGCTCTGAGAGCTAACACACTGTCTTGTGTATTTGGGGCTAATTGTTCTAAACATACACAAACACACAGTCGCAGGACTACATCCCTAGCTTAACATCCACCGGGCTCATACCTGTGGCATGCATAGTATGTTAATTACAGGTGAGCTGCCAACTCATTCAGGCCTTCAGGCTGTGGACCAGCTGCCAATGTAGCCTTTGGTGTGAAACTGGGGGGTGTCACCCCTCCCCGAGTCAGTCAAAGGTCAAAGCTTGGCACAGGCTACAATTTTGCACCTTGTCAGTTCATCTTGTTTATCCTCTCGACAGGTGTTTTACCTGGCAGAAATTATTTCAGGAACTAAGCTCAACTCTTTCACCTTAGGTGGGGCAGAGATCTCTGAGCGATGTTTCTCAATACGGTAAATTTCCTAGAACTAACTGGAGTTGTAGTTCTTCAGAAAGGCACAAAGTGGTTTTCCTGTAACGTCTCGCTCTAACAAGTATATTGGCTTCCTTTTGGGATACCAATATCTTCTTCAGGAGAAGAAAAGGCTAAGGAGTATAAACCCTACACAAATCTGGAGCGGAGTCCCTAAGGCAGTTGGATGGTGCCTTGTACACCTCCTTCCGGCAACTCCTGTGCCAAACGTCTTTTTTTTTTTACAATTTGTTTTTTTTAAAAAATTAATTTATTTAACATAATTATTACAAAATATAAGCAAAATATTTCAAATACGTCTTTTATATATATATACATACATATATATTTTAGATAAGCACACACATATAAAAAAAGAACAAAAGAGAAAAAAGGAAGAAAAGAAAAAAGAAAAAGAAAAAATAAAGAGAAAAAGAAGAAGAAAAGTTGGAAGAATTTATTCCAAATTTATCCTACAAATATCGCAATAATAAGATTTCATTGATTGACTTCCGTCGCTTACACTGCACTTCCTATATACATTTTAAGCAAGATTGTATCTGTTATATTCCGTATTTTTCCCATACAATCTCACACAAATATTCTAATCAATAAGTTTTCTTAAATCTATTCTAAACACAACCAATACCTTACATTTAAGGTTTGTCTACATAAATAATCATTTAAACATTTCCATTGTTTCTGGATTATATTTTTTGGTTTTTGTCTTATCAAATCAGTCAACTTTGCTAATTCCAAGTATTTGCATAATTTATTCAGCCAATCTTCTTTTGGTGCCAAACGTCTTGCTCTGCTTTCCTTTGGACCCCATCAGTGAGGCCGAGAGAGGGGTCTTGTCTTATGGGCAGCCCAGGACCTCCATACACACATACATACATACAGGTCTATTTAGTGAAATTTGACTTCACCCCCAGAGGTGCACTCCATTGTCTCCCGAGATGGATGGATGCCAAGAACAACAGACGTGGACCAGACAGTCCTTCAAATATAGGATGCCTTTGAACAGTGGCATGACCTCTATTAGGCAAGATAAGTGGCCACCCTGCTTTTCAATTCACCAAAATGGAGACCACAAAACCAAAAGTGTGCATATCTATGCTGCAACTATGGCTCTGCTCTCCCCCCAGAAATTCACAACAGCCCCAGCATCTTTCAGAGGCATGGCTCAGTCAGGACGGCAGCACTTAGGGTGGATCTACACACAGGGATAAAAAAACACTATGAATAAGTCAGAAATTAAGTCGTTATAACAAAATAAAAAAACGCTATGGAAAATCACTTAGATTTTTTGTTTGCTCCCCAGCGCCATCTGGTGTTGCATTTTTATAATGAATTCAAAACACTCTTTCTTGACTAATGTAGCTGAGTCCCCTGTGTACGTAATAAGACTCGCATATGGTCCAAGATGCAAGCAGTTCAACAGAGAAGCCCATGGGGAAAACAAATCGAGGAAGAGGTTAATTCTGAGGTGCTGAGAAGCAGAATGACCCAGGCAGGCACCGGCAAACAGTCAGCAGGAGGCTGGCAGGTAAGAACCGGACAGCAGAGAGTGTCACAGATACTGCAGAAATCCTGGAATCTTAAGGAGACTGGCAATAGCCTTGGAGAAGCAAATCTTGTCCAACAAGCTCCCGAAACACGTTTTCCAGAGGCAAGTCCAGTGTTTTTACAGGGACAAGGACCAATGGGATGGCTCCCCGTAGCTGCCCAATTCCAGGCCCCGCAATCTCTGGGTTGGGAAGGAGTTTTTTAAAATCCTGGAGGAATTACTGCCCTGTGACTGAGGGTCACTTTGCCAGCTAAGGACTCCGACAAACACATCCACTTGGGAGCATCGCAAATGGTACGCTTTAAGCCTGTTCTCCCTCCTTCCTAAAAATATTCCATTCCATGACACCATTTCTTCTTGCTGCATTTAATATTCACTCCGAAGGTTCCAAAAAAAGTCTGGTAGCAATTAAAGGCAGGCTTTTCAAGAACTTAGTTAGGCACCAGGAAACTCGGCTAAGCACCGCTGTACACTCCTGACTCCTTTGCTTGTTAAGGTAATGTGTTTTGATTGCTCAGATCTATGGTCTGGGAAGCAGACAGGACCTATGCTTCCCTCACTGAGGTCTTCCGGACCTGGCAATGTGTGCTGAACAAATCCCCTATTTAATTGTTTCTACATTATCTAGCCTTTTAATTTTCATCCTCATCCCACTGCCAGCTAATTAAACCAGATTCTGCACGGCCTGTCATCTAAGGATTTTAACGGCGATCAGATAATTCCATTTGATTCTAAAATATCTCCATTTACATTGATTTTCAGCTGGACACAGACCAAGGAAGGTTACAGTATAATTGCCTTGAAAACCTCCACAGCTGAGAGGCAATGCTTTCTAACGGCGTCAGAAATTCAGACATATAAACTAATTGCCTTAAACCTGAGTTGCGGTTGCGACAATGGTATGTCTGGGGCCATTCCCCACCCCAGTGAGGTTTCTTATTATTGTTGTTGTTGTTATTTTTTATTTCATATGTATACCACTTTACATTTTAAAGAGAAAAAAATCTGATGGCAGTTTATAAAACGTTAAAGGTAAAGGGACCCCTGACCATTAGGTCCAGTTGTGGCCGACTCTGGGGTTGCGGCGCTCATCTCACTTTATTGGCTGAGGGAGCCAGTGTACAGCTTCCGGGTTATGTGGCCAGCATGACTAAGCCGCTTCTGGCGAACCAGAGCAGCGCACGGAAATGCCGTTTACCTTCCCGCCGGAGCGGTACCGATTTATCTACTTGCACTTTGACGTGCTTTCGAACTGCTAGGTTGGCAGGAGCAGGGACCGAGCAACGGGAGCTCACCCTGTCACGGGGATTCGAACCGCCGACCTTCTGATCGGCAAGTCCTAGGCTCTGTGGTTTAACCCACAACGCCACATCAAATCAAACAATCCAGAGCAAAACAAATCAAGGCTTCTAGGAAAGTATTTCAGATCCTTCTCTAAGTGACATTTTGCTTTCCCCATATTTATTCACTGACTTAATTTATAGAGCTGTCCCATAGCAGAAGTACTGGCTAGGAAGCTAGTGTAGTGGTTAGCGTGTTGGACTAGGGCCTGGGAGGTCAGGGTTCAAATCCCCACTTAGTCATGAAGGGTGACCTTCATAGTCACAGCCTCTTAACCTACCTCACAGGGTCGTTGTAGAGATTAACTGAGGAGGGATGTGAACCGTGGACTTCAGGGAGGAAAAAGTGGAAAAGAAATGCAATAAATAAGCTGTTCTGCTGACCTGCTTAGGAGAGCTGGAGGGGGCAGCCAGATGGAGATGTCAGTTACCAACAGTGTTAGAAACTCAGATATATGAACTACGTGCCAAATGGCAGCTTAAACCTACAACGGAATGTCTATTCGCCAGGGGGGTTGGACTAGATGGCCCTCGTAGTCCCTTCCCACGCTACAATTCTAGGATTCTGTGACCTCATTGCTTGACTGTAGCTTCCTCTTACAACAATTCACTTGTCCCAGCATGCAAGGAGGAGAAACACACACAAGGGAAATGGTATTTACAGTCATACCTCGGGTTACAGAGGTTGTGTTTTTTTGGGTTATGGACTGCCGAAACTTGGAAGTACCGGAACGGGTTACTTCCGGGTTTTGGCGGCCGTGCATGCGCAGACGCGCCGCTGCGGGTTGCGAACGTGCATCCCGCACGGATCATGTCCACTGTACTCTGGAATAAGGCAGAGGCTTTTAAACTGCAGCCACCAATCTGGAGGCCAGAAATCTCCACGTACAGTGGTACCTCGGGTTACATATGCTTCAGGTTACAGACGCTTCAGGTTACAGACTCCGCTAACCCAGAAATAGTACCTTGGGTTAAGAACTTTACCACAGCATGAGAACAGAAATTGTGTGGTGGCAGCAGGAGGCCCCATTAGCTAAAGTGGTGCTTCAGGTTAAGCACAGTTTCAGGTTAAGAACGGACCTCCGGAACAAATTAAGTACTTAACCCAAGGTACCACTGTAGTTGCAACTGGACCCGCACCAGAAGCAAAATGCACCTGGCTCCTGGCTAATTTCGAACACTGCTTCTCAACACCAGCTGCCGAAGACTGTAAGAAGGGAGAATGGCGCTGTGCGCAGGTCCTGGACTGGGGAATTCCCATGGGCATCTGCCTGGCCACTGAGAGAACAGGATACTGGACTCAATAGGCTCCTCTTACGTTTTTAAGTCTATTGGAACTTAGAAGTTAGTGCCTGAACTGCACCTCGACCCTAAATAAGATGCTGGTGTTGCAGGGATGAAGAACAGGCAGAAACGAAACATAAATATATTACAATATTTATATTACAATAAATATTGTAATATAAAAAATTAGAAATTACTTGAAAGAAACAAATAGGCCTAGGATTAAATTAAGATATAATCAAATAAATGGGATTTAGAATGTTAAGAAAAGTGAATAAGATGGACTATAATTGGAAATTGTTTTAGTTTAATAATGATATTGGAAAGCTGTTACTTTTAATTACAAGGAAACTCAGAAGGGAGGGATTTGAGGAAGTCAACCAAGATGTTTAAAAGGTTGGATTTGTGAAGAATTAAGTTTGTTGTTATTGTTTATCTGTTTATTGTGTCCCCCCCCCTTTCTTTCTTCCTTTTTCTTTTTCTGTTTTTGTGTATCATTTTGCTTTGTGGTTTGTGTTATCACTGTGAAAAATCTAATAAAAAAATTATTTTAAAAAAAGAAAGAAACGAAACATGCCATTATCCACCCTACTTTTCAGAACACGGTTAACAATTACATTGCCTGCTTTAACCTTCGCAGGGGGGAAATCGTGGCTGAACAAGAGCCAGCTTTTGACAGAATATGGATACAAGGCATTCTAGGAAGCTGGCGGTCTTAAGGCAGCTTAACGGTACCCAAGAAGCCAAAGGAAGCCTGAGCGACCTCAAACCACCTGCCTTGCCATTCTGTTTCGTTTGAGAGAGAGGAGCAGCCGTTTTGCGAATGTTTTCGTACTGCCACTCCAGGAGCTGGGTTCCCCAGGCGAGGAACAACCGCAAACAGATCAAAACTTGCAGAGCCGATAAAACAAGCAACACAAAAATCCCCTGAAACAGGAACAACCTTATCGGAGCAGCAGCGCACACAAGTTCAGCCGCAGTCATGCAATTAGAGCGTGCCACAAAAAATGTCTTCGTGGAGATACAAACCACATCCTAGAAATCACAGCAAAATGCAGTGAAGAACGCCAAGAGAAATGATTTTTTCAAGGCCAGGGGGAGTTTTTAAAAAGGCTTCATATGGTGCTAGAAAGACAACAGATTAAATATCAGGGGGCCTTCTTGGGAGGGGGGTGTTCCACAGCCAGTGGAAGGGTGGTGGCTATTATTGAAAAGATTTCTGAACTCCTTTTCATAGAATCATAGAATTGCATAGTTGGAAGGGACGCTAAGAGTTATCTAGTCTAACCCCCTGCAGTGCAGTAGGGGCAGATAAAGGTAAAGGGACCCCTGACCATTAGGTCCAGTCACGGACAACTCTGGGATTACGGCGCTCATCTCGCTTTACTGGCCAAGGGAGCCAGCGTACAGCTTCCAGGTCATGTGGCCAGCATGACTAAGCCACTTCTGGCGAACCAGAGCAGCGCACAGAAACGCCGTTTACCTTCCCACCGGAGCGGTACCTATTTATCTACTTGCACAAGTGTGCTTTCGAACTGCTAGGTTGGCAGGAGCTGGGACCGAGCAACGGGAGCTCACCCCGTCGCAGTGATTTGAACCGCCAACCTTCTAATCAGCAAGCCCAAGATACTCCTGCTGAATTCACAAGACCTATGTTCATGCAAATCAGGAATGGAGGAACTGTGGCCCTCCAGATTTTGCTCGACTCCAACTCCCATCAGCAACAACCAGCACGGTGAACGGCCAGCATGATGGGAGTTGCAGTCCAACAACAACTGGAAGGCCACTGTAGCTGTGCTTGTATATAGGAAAATCCCCCCCCCATGGTATCTGATACAGTTGCTAGAATAGTATTGCTGCTAGGTGGAAGTCACAAACTATACCAACAAAGGAGGAATGGATTTGTAAACTAAATGAATATTTAATTTTGGCAAAAATTAACTGCTATAATAAGAAATCAGTCGAATCAAAAATTTAAAAAAGAAGTGGAAATGTTTTGATGAATATACGGCAAAATATTGCTCAAAGAAAGATATGCTAATATGCCTAGATTACAATGCGAAGTACTGCATGGAAGAAAACTTAGTAAGGAAAGATAATAAGAATATATAGATGACTTGAGAAGACTGTAGAAGGCAAAGATTATTGTAAATTGTATAATGTGGAGGAAATCGAATGGGGGTGGAGGGAAGTGGGAAGAGGGAGGAAAGAATAATATGATGGATTGAGGAAATATAAATGTATGGGGGGATGGGGAGGAAATGGTGTTGGCTTTGGTACATTTGTATTGTAATGTAATATGTGAAAACCAACAAATAAATAAATAAATAAATAAATAAATAAGAAAGTAAAAAAAAAAACTGGAAGGCCACAGGTTGCTCATCCTGACTAGGAAAAACACAAACAGCTTACCATTTCATAGACTGACAGAGTTGGAAGGGACCCTGAGGGTCGTCTAGCTCAACCCCCCTGCAATGAAGGAACATTTTGCCCAACGTAGGACTCGAACCCACAACCCTGAGATTAAGAGTCTCATGCTCTACCAACTGAGCTATGGAGGTCTTAAATGAGGGATGGGTAATATCAGGCCCAGGGCCCAAATCCAGACCTCTCTAAGCACTTTGGAGTCTCTGCACCATCCTCGCCTGTCTGAAAGGTGTCTTTGAACTCTCACAAGTCTTCCTTGCTTGCTTAGGTAGAGGGAGGGGGGAGTGGGAGTGTGCAGAATTCACATTTGTCGCTCTGGCAGCGCCTGAAAGGCAGACAGAAAATAACCCGGAGGGGGCCACCACCAGAAAGAACCTGCTACCATATTTTACCTTCAACGAGATGGCGGAACCCGGAGCAGGGTCTCTATTGAAGACCTTGCCGGACCACATTTGTAAACCTATGTATTGCAGATCTCATACAGGTTACCTCAAATGTTGCAGTTTACAAGACACAGCCAAGTTTAAACGCCAATTGCACTTGAAAACAAGCAGACTCTTTTGATACGCACTTCGGTGACAGCATCAAGGTGGATTAGCTGCTCACATAGCATACTGGACACAGAAATATGCAAGACACCAGAAGACACCCAAGCAAACTATTCAAGGGAAGGGCTGTAAGTCAGCTGTAGAGCATCTACTTCGTGCGCAAAGGTCTCTCTCTCTCCGCTGCCCCCCCCAATCCTTTCACCTGCCTTCTTTCCCACCTGATATGCAGGGCAGCTGGGTCCTGCTTCCTTCAGCTGGCAGAAAATGGAGCCAAGAGATAAAAAGTACAGGCAGCAGGGCAGGATGAGATAGGAAGAAGATAGCAACAAGAAAGGAATGCCATAGGTGCCTCATCTCTGAATTTACAAGCAATTTTAAAATAAGTGCCAAAGTCTCCAAACTGCAGCCTGGCAACCTTATCCCGAAGCAAGCAATGTCTGGGTGTGACCGCACCATAAGTAACAGAGACCTGCGTGAGATAAACTCTCCAAACAAACCGATTTAAACCTTCTCATGTGGCTGCCTTTAGTGCTGTGCACACTGAATTACGACGATGTCTATTTTTAAAATTGAGGAACTATTCGAATCAGTTTAAATCAAAACATGGTTTTAAAAGGGGGTGGGGAGAGTTGGGAATGCGCTGAGATAATAGTTTTTACCAACACAAAAATGCTGGCAGGGGAGCAAACTTCTAAGCAGTACAGAATTCCTCGTCTGGCAGGAGACTTGTTAGGAAATGGAAAGCCAGCAACCCTGTCCGCATCAGGGATTTGTGGCCCCAACCTTGTTGCAGTTTTATTGGGAAGGCTGGGAAATAATTCCTAGCACAATCCCTTGCCCCCACCAAAAACCCCCCACAAAACTTGACCTCAACTCTCAGCACTTGGAATATTCCTAGTTCTGCTCAGCAGACTGCATCTCTTTTGGTTCCTTACGCGTCTGCATCCATTCCATCAGTTACAATTTTTAAAAATTCTGAATTGCTGGGGGGGGGTTAAAAAGGAGAGAGGGGGAGACAATAGGTAAAGATTTTCCATGCTTCACTCCTCCCCGAGCTTAAATGGGAGCAAGAAACCACAATGCTTGGTTTAGCATTACATCTGAACAGAGGATCCTGGTTTGTGTCACTCAAACAAACTCTGATAAGCCAAGAATAAACCTTGGCTTCACATTGTGGTTTGTTTGGAGCATAAAACAATTATCGGTCCCCTGAGCGGACACAAAACTGCTAAGTCAGGGGTTGCGATCTGTTACTCACACCAGAGAGGAGCCACCTGAACATTCATAGCAAACTATTAACGGTGGTTTACTGTGATGTGTAAACACAGGCAGTTTTGACTGTTCACCAGAGATGCAATCCTATCCTACACACTCTCTCTCTCTCTCTAGCAGAAGGAAATAGACCTGCACAGGATTGTGCCAAATTTATTTATTTTTTAAAAATTGGCACTAACCCAAAATACTCCCAACCACCACCCAAAACATTAGCCTACAGAATAGAAACAAACAGCGCACTGCAAATGGCCATCAGGATAAAGTGAAATCTTTGACAAGCAGCAGCATTTAAAATGGCAATGTTTTATATTTAAAAATAAAAGAGAGAGCATTGGGGTGGGGAGAAGATTAAAAGGGCAAGACACAGGTTTCAGCAAAACAAACTCAGATAAGAAAGTGAGCCATGTCACCTTAGGGAGGGGACAGAGAAGATTTAGAGCTACAGATCAGATTTAGTGACAAACCTACTCTGAAGTAGGCTGCCTCTGTAAAGCTGTAGGGACCCAAGGGTTAGATCTATATATAGCTGGTGCTCTACGTTATCTTATATCCAAGCTCATTTAGAGGCAAAATGCCAAATGTAGGAAGCATTGCAGGGTATGGTGTTAAACCAGGGGCAAGGAAGCTGTGGCCCTCCAGATGGAAATGTAAAGCTGGAAGGGACCCTGGGGGTCATCTAGTCCAACCCCCTGCTGGACTCCGATTCCCATCAGCCTCCGCTAGCATGGTCAAGGATGATTCGAATCCAGCAATGTCTGGAAAGCCACAGGTTCCCCACTGGTGCCCTAAACCTTTCACACTGTGTCCTATGAAGCAAGAGCAATTGCCACTCGGGGAAGAAACAGATAAGAATGAAGGGATAAATAAGGGCAAATGTCTTCCTTCAATCCCAGGCAACTTGCTAACATCATTACAGTTGTCACTTTAGCAACACTCACCTCCTGAAAGCATCCTAAAATCAAAACTACCTGCTTATGAAGTGAGGCTCCCAGCTTCTAGGAAGTAAGAGTTCCTTGGTCATTCTCCTTGAAAATACCCCCAATCCTGGCCATTTGTAGCCCATTTGTCTCAGCAGGGCTCCAAAAGGAAAAACTCACCTGAGGGAGCAGTTTTGGAGGGGTGTTTTTTGCAGGAGCGACCTCGCAGGCACGGAAAGGGTTAAGCACCCCTTCTGCCTACAGATGCTCTCCTATACGTCCCCTGCCCCCAATTTTCCATTATCTCAGGTTTGGAAACACATGTCTGCTAAGGTTAAGAGGTATCTTCTGCAACCCCTGCTGCTCATTCAAGGGTGAGCGCTAGACCTTTTCCGGGATTCCAGGAGTTAAGCATTTCTCTCTCCAAAGCTGTGGTCTGTGAAATTCCAAGAGAGGGGTTGGGCCCAGAGGGTAAACAGGGGTGGACGGCTGGGCTCTGCCCAAAAGAGCCACCAGCAGCATGAAAAGAGCCTTAAATGATAGGCGGAGGTGGCGAACAAGGATAACTGTTTGCCAGCTGGGGGTGGGGGCTACTGGAAATTTAGCCTTGCAAAGGCTTCCTTTGTCCAAAATCTCCCTAACGTACCAAGGGCCGATGCAGACACATCGCGGAGTTAAATATTAAATCAGCGGCTGAATGACAAACAAACCGGGGCTTGTTTTGCCAAAAGTACGAGTGAGCACCCACAACAGAGGATTGTAACCACTGTCTGAGCAACCTTGGCAGCGCAGATTTGGGAATTCAAGAGGGAAAAGAGAAAGTCTAGTCTGAAAAGGACAGGGTGCGATCTTCTAAGCCAGGCCAACAAAGCAATGAGAAAGCACGCGAGCTTGCTGCATTTCATCAAACTTTTCACCAGGAAAGGGAACTTCCATTCTGTATCAGGAGTTTCCACGAAACTCAAAACGTTCCCAGCCCGAGGGACACATTTCCTGGTGCCACATGCCATTGACCGGCAAGGCAAGAACCAAGGATAGATATGGCCAGGAGCTAAACTGCAAAGAGCAACTTGACGGGAATCTCAGTTTGCACAGCAAGACCAAATCCCAGCCATGCAAAAGCCAATGATTTCTACACGCAAACCCCTCTCTTCGCATGGGCAAGCAAGAGGCATTATCCTGGCTCGAGAGCACCTTCTGGCAAGGCAATGGAGGAGGAGGGCAAGGGGCAGGGCTTCGAGGCAGCTCTGGGGGGCCACACAGAGAGGTCTGGAGGGCCACATCTGCGCCATGGGCCGAAGGTTCCCTCGCACCTGCTCTACACCAATTCCCACAGGCTCAGGAGTAAATCTCGCGTTACCTCCTTGCATCTCCAGGCTTCATTTTCTTGGAATAACATGGGGGGGGGGCAGGAGAAGGACTCTTTATGAAAGCAAACCCAACACAGAGCTGGTGCAGAATAATTCCTAGGTGGAAACTCAGGTCAAAATGTCAGAACACAAGAAGTGGTCTAAGTGATACCAAGTCAGGCCATGAATCTATCTAGCTCCATAGTGTGGACAATAGGCTAGAAGCATCTCTCCAGGGTTTCAGATACAGGTCCTCTCCCAGCCCTACCAGGAGATGTTGGGGATTGAACTTGAGACCTTTGGCATGCAAGGCAGATTCTCTACCATTTAGCTACAAGGCCCTGCAGACATAAGCATGGGGCTCAAGTCTATTTATTTATCCATCCAGCTGAAAGCAGCTGTCCTTGGTTTTGGGTCTGGGAAATGCCTCTGCCTAGCACCCAAACTCTATTAAAGCTGGTGATGATGCTAGGAATTAAAACTGGGAACCTTCTTCACCTAGCAGAAGCTGTAGCAGCTGAGATGCTCTCCAGGGTAATCCCCACTGGAAGCCTCACTTCAGCCAGTAACTGACAACCTGGCCTTCAAGACTAGCTTTCCGTTGCTCAGCCTGCCCACCCATCTCATTTGCATTATGCGGTTTGTTTGTTTTTGTTTTTAGTTACTTATAGGAATGTAGCAAATCTGCATTATGGTGTGACCATTTCTAAGAATGCATATAAACTACCAACTCAAAATAAATTTCACAACAGCATACAGTAAAATGGTTAAAACATCAAACAAATGCGGACACACAATCAAATTCATTTTCTAAAGGCACCTGGCAAAACATCAGTTGCTGGGCCTGCCTTATAAGAATATTGTATGGGCCACAGATACATTTGAACCACTCTGAGAGCAGCAAAATTCTAACTATTGGTGAACGAAACAGAATAATGTATGTGCTGAATTTTGCCCTGTTACCCGTAAGGTGTCAAGCAATCCAAACAAGGTCAACTGGCCAAAGCTGGCAAGGATGTCCCCCCCAATTGCAAAAAAAGGTGAGGCAAAGCAAAAGGCTGATCTACGCAGCAAGACCAGAGCATGTTGTACAGTAGGAATATTATTGCAAAGCCTCTCCAGTTATTCTCTCACATTCAGCAAAGATGATTTACTGTAGAATTTCAAGGTTGCCTTTTGAGCCACAAGTGAAATCAAATGAGGGTATAAAGAAATAATTGTTTTTAAGAGCAGAACACCAGGGTGGAAATGCAGTTTCCTTGTCTGCCTAAATGGCCCCCTGTGGCAAGGAAAGATTAGGGGGGAGGGAGGGGAGGGGAGAAAGAGGCAAATAAATTCAGGGTTCAACAGCATCCATTTCCAGGCCTCGTTTGCACAACAATGGCACATCTCAGTACTACAATTCACAAACTCAAGTGTCCTCATGATCATGATCATCATTACATTTAATACAACACCCTCAATGTGCATAGAGCTTTGCAAGGGCTTAAGAGGGTAGGTACCCGCCCCAAGGAACATACAATCAAAAGTTTGATACAGGGAAGGGAACAGAGGCAACTGCGCCAGGGAGCATCCAGTGAGATTTGTCTGCATGACCCCTTCCCTTGGAAACAGCAGTGTGATTCTTTGGATGCTGGCCACACTGGGCACTCAGCAAATTTGATCCTACAAACTGGCATAATTCCACCAAAGTTGTTGCCCTAATCCCAAAGTCATTTACTCGGAAGAAAATTCCACCAGATTCACTGGGCCTTATTCCCAAGCAGACATGACCAGGACTGCAAACCCTACCCTACACACGCACTTGGGAGTAAGCCCCACTGACCTCATGCTTACTTCTGAGTAAACATGCATAGAATCAAACTCAGAAATGACCCAGCGCAAGGAATACAGAAACCTGAAATCACTTAAACCTACCTATTCAGGTACATTTAATCCAAAGGGGGCTGGAATTATTACGTATTTCAATATTTCAGCATGCTGGGACGATGCTATTGTTTTTTTCCCCTTCACCTTTTAAAGAAAGGTGGCTTGTTAAAGACCAATAGGTTTATCCTGCCACAAGCCTTCTGAGGACAGAATTTCACCCTATACATCTTCAGTTGGCGGATTATGTATAAAGACACAGGCAGATGCTCACCCACTGAACTGGGAAGACTAAATAAACAGTGGAGCCCAAAGTACCGAATACAAATGCGTGTTGGACTGCCAAATTTGCAGCCCGAGACAGACAAGAAATAAGTAGAAAAAATCGTTCGGGAGCTAAATAAACATAGATGGGGAGTTAAAAACAGCGCCGAGCAACGCAGGGAAGACGTTTTGCTAAAATAGTTTCCAAACGCGCCCAACCTCCAGTCTAACCCGCTTGCGGACCCGTCTCCACGTTCCTGAAGCTGTGACCCACGCCCTCGGAATCCGAAAGCCGCTTAAGCCCCCAACAGGGCGAGCTAACGTGGGAAAGCCTGGAGCGCGCGTTCCAGCCGCCGTGCGCCCTCCGGCTTAAGCCACTCGCGGATGGATCGCTCGCCAGGAGGAAAAGGAGCGCGGGGAGATCAGGCGTCGGGATTCGGCGAGGCTCCTCGGAAGCAAGCAGCTCCAAAGCGGCGCGCGTCGTTTCCAAGCCCGCGCCAAACCTCTCCGCGCCACGGCGAATACGCGCCGGACCTGGAGAGCCACGGATCCAAACTTTGGTGAAATAAAGATGCCCAAAGCCAAGCGCTTAGCACTTACCCGCTCGGTTGCTCGATCGCTCTCGCCGCGCAGCCGGGACGGGGCGTCCGCGGGACTCCGCCAAGGGAGGTGCGCTCGCTCGCGTCGCGGGGCGCCCCGCCCGGGTGGGTGGGGACAGGTGCGCGCAGCAAACAGGCGGCGAGGCAACAATGCGGGGCGGGCGGGCGCTGCGCTGACTCAGCCCGCCCCGCAGGCGCTGACATCACGCCCGCCCGGCGCGTAAAGGCGCGCGCGCCCAGCCGCTGCCAACCCCTGTCGAGGGTTCGAGTTCTGCTGGACCTGTATAGGAATCCGAAAGTTGGAAGGGACCGTTGACTGGCATAGCCAGGGGACAGGGAGGCAGTTGGGACAGGGAGGCAGTTGTCCCCCTGAATCAAGTAAATAAATAAAAATACAAATTAAAAGTAGAAACTGTAGAACGCAATTATTCTGAGCACTTGGGGTCCAAAGAAAGTAATTTAAAACAACTGCTGTTGAGACATTTCATTCCGAATCTACTAGTGTTTCTCAACCTTGGGTCCCCAGATGCTGTTGGACTACAACTCCCATCATCCCTGAGCTCTGGCCTTGCTAGCTAGGGGTGATGGGAGTTGTAGTTCAACAACATCTGGGGACCCAAGGTTGAGAGAGGCTGTGAGCCAGACAGAGGATGATGACAGGTGGGTGTCCTGCCTCTCCCCAAAATAAATCCTGGCTGCACCTATGGAAGAGACTCCCCAAGGTCATTTAGTCCATCAGGATGGGTGGGCTTGAATCACCAACTTTCTGGTTAACAGCCAGACGCACTCACTGTGCCACAGGAGCTCTCCCCTCTCTTATTATGCAGTTATAATAACAATAAGAAAAATTTTATTATTTATACGCCGCCCATCTGACCGGGTTTCCCCAGTTATTCGACGCCTGGGCTTTTAGTTTGATTTATTGGCTTTCTGTGCCGATTCTGTGCCCAGTTACATTTATTTAATTTCAAATGAATCCCAAAGCGGCTTACAAACAGTATTCTATTTTATTGTTGTTTATTTGTTTGTTGTGCCTATAGCCCACCTTTCGATCCATGGAGCTCAAGGTGGCTTTTGCATAGTTCTCCCACTCCTCATCTAATCAGCACAACAACCCTGTGAGGTAGGGCAGTTGGGAGAGGCAGTGACTGAGTCAAGTAGGGAGTCAAACCCAGGGCTATCAGGTCCTGGCCCAACACTCTAAGCACTGCACCTCCACTGGCTAACGACAACATAGTAGAGCGGTGTCTCCAAAAATGTTTACACTTCACTTGGGAAGATAGGCGAACTAATGCCAGTGTACTGGAAGAAGCAAAGATCACTAGTGTCAAAGCGATGATTCTTCAACTTCGTTGGACTGGTCATGTGCGGATGCCTGATGATCGTCTTCCAAAGCAACTACTCTATTCCGAACTTAAAAATGGAAAGCATAATGCTGGTGGTCAACAAAAGGGGTTTAAATTCTCTCTCAAGGCAAATCTAAAAAAATGTAGTATAAACACTGACAAACTGGGAAACACTGGCCTGTGAGCGCTCCAGTTGGAGAACAGTCTTTACCAAAAGTGTCATGGACTTTGAAGACGCTCAAACTCAGGATGAAAGGGAGAAACGTGCTAAGAGGAAGGCATGTTTGGCAAATCCACACCATGATCAACTCCTGTCCGGAAACCTCTGTCCCCACTGTGGAAGGACGTGTGGATCCAGAATTGGCCTCCACAGTCACTTATGGACTCACTGTTAAGACTGTGTTCATGGAAGACAATCTTACTCATCTATGAGTGATTGCCAAATAAGTAGCAGAGCATCACAGATGCAGCATAAATTGCATAAAATCATCAGCGAAACAATTACCATCTGTAAAGCACTATTAACAAAGCAGCAACTGAAAAATCAGCTAAACATCAGAATCTCAGCAAAAGACGTGTTTTGTGATGAACACATCAATATGGCATTTATAATCTGTAAATCAATATTAAGAGAATAGCAACTAAAATAAACAAATTAAGCACTGTTAAGTTCATACACACAATCTCCATGCCCCCCTGACTCAAATTCTTTCTTTCTATTTGGTTCATTGAAATACACATAAAAGACACATGGCATCTGTTCATCGACTTGTTTAACGCAGGGCATTCCAGTTATTAGGCTTAGTTTCTTGTTTTAATGTATGAAGTTAACATTAGCTACTTGACAAAATTATTTAATTTGTGAAGTTAAATGTGTGGCTGATCGACTTAATTAATTGGTGGCCGTTTTTGTCCCATTGTTCCTCCAGCTGACTGAGGGGACCCATTTCCTGCCTCGGCCTTCACCCTCCTCTCATTCTGAGCCAGTTCTGAGTTGCTGGCATGTTTCGTATGTGTGCCTGAGCATGTGTGTGCATGCAATCAGATGCTGAGCACATGTACACCCCAGTGCATCCAGCGAGGGCAGAGGATTGGAGACACTCATGAACCGAGAATGCACTAGCCTCCTGAACCCTCAGTGACACATGTTTCATTTAACATAATGAAAGACACGAGGGCTCAGTTCACCACTGTGCTCTCAATCTTGGTTCTGCCACCGTGAGTCACCGCAGTGCCATTTGTGGGCAGGTGTCGCTGTCACATGCTGGTTATTCAACAGCCTTACAGAAACCTGATGCTGAGTCAACTCTCATGGGAAGGAGCGATGATGTACACCTAGCTTGTAGGTAATTGGAGGTAACACGCCAGCAAGCGCCAGTTCTTTGGTTGATGCTGCTTACGAATAAAAGCCAACGCTAACTTGCAACCCTCCATGATGCTCTTCCAAAGTGAGCAGCTTTTGATGCTCAGAGAGAAGAAACGAATGGAAAACCCCAAATTTTGCAGAATAGTAAGCCCCATCACAAAGGCTCCATAGAGAACGTAAAAATGGTTCCACAAAATCAGGTGAAAACCCAAAATGCGTTCTAAGCATGTGATTTCAACACGCATGGTGATCAAATCAGCGTGGGGAAGGTTGAGAAGCCTTTAATGAAATCCACGAGCCTGGTCACTGATCCCTGGCAATCTTAGAAAATGCATGCCCAAAATTCCTTCTAAAAACAGGAGGAATACAGGAAGCTGCCTTATGTAGAATCAGTGGATTGGTATTGCCATAAGAACATAAGAAGAGGTTGCTGGATCAGGCCAATGGCTCTCATCTAGTCCAGCCAGCAGGAAACCCGTGAGCAGGATTTGAGCGCAAGATACTCTCCCCTTCTCAAGGAGAAGCCCTAGCAAAGCCTGACAGGTAGAATATCTATCCATCTCAGAAACAAAGCTCCCTTACTTCCAGACCCATGAAATTCTTCATCAGCTTCACTCTGTTACACTGGGCCCACTTCTGCAATCGGGCCAAACTGGAATACCCAAACACCTCTCTCTCTCTCTCTTTCTCCCTCCCTCTCTGGAACTGTTCCACCTACTCATAATTACACGCCAAATCCATAACGAGTGGTTAAGTAACAACCAGCTGCTGCTTCTCACGGCCTCCTGGCAATCTGCAGGACAGGAAAGAGCGGCATACCTGACATACTTCTAAGAAGAGGCCAAACCGGTTGTTCTGAGGACTGTATGAAGATTTCATTTCATTTTCGTACCATGGTGTACGAATACAGACGCAACATTCGCGGCCTGGATCCAAAGAGTGAGCAAATAACACACCTTCGCACAACTTGTTTCCTTGAACAACATCCACCCCCTCTGGATCTGGAAACAGTAATTGAGATGACTAATTACTACTCTCTGAAAAAAGAAATGAATGGAATATGAACAGAATGGAGCAACAAATTGTGTATTTTCTCTCTCTAAAATCCTCCCCTTTGCATCTGGGGCTACAAGGGGGGAAGAGATGCCCGAGGTAGAGGACAAAAGCACCGCCATGATCCCAAAATCCTCACTTTTTTTAGTATGGAATCTGAAATTCTATCACACGCCCTCCAACATTTCTTTGATGAAAATAGGGACATCCTATTCAATTATTAGGGACGCGGGTGGCGCTGTGGGTTAAACCACAGAGCCTAGGACTTGCCAGTCAGAAGGTCGGAGGTTCGAATCCCCACGACGGGGTGAGCTCCCGTTGCTCCGTCCCTGCTCCTGCCAACCTAGCAGTTTGAAAGCACGTCAAAGTGCAAGTAGATAAATAGGTACCACTCCGACGGGAAGGTAAACGGCGTTTCCGTGTGCTGCTCTGGTTCGCCAGAATTGGTTTAGTTATGCTGGCCACTTGACCCGGAGGCTGTACGCCAGCTCCCTCGGCTGATAAAGTGATATGAGCGCCGCAACCCCAGAATCGGTCACGGCTGGACCTAATGGTCAGGGGTCCCTTTGCCTTTACCTTTCACCCAGCTGCATAGATTGATGGGGCAGTTGCCCTGCATCTCCCTGGATGCGGGTGGTACTGTGGTCTAAACCACCTGATCACTGGTTCTGTTAGCTAGGGATGATGGGAATTGTAGTCCCAAACATCTGGAGGGCCTGAGTTTGCCTATGCCTGCTGTAAGGCATCTTCTTGTGTTCCTACCAACAACAAACTATAATTTATAACTTTCCTCCTGCCCCCAGAAGAAAGGCTAGATACCCTCCAGAGGAGAATCTAAATATAGACCCAATGCCTAAGCTTCTCATGATGAGCCAAATGGCAAAATAATTGGATTTGGCACCTCTATTAATTGATGTCAGCTTTTTCATCAGGGTAGCATTTGGGAGATCAGCTTAGCCAGCAGAGGAATGTGGAGGAACAGACCTGTTTCTGTTTTTTCTTAAAGTAATAGGCCGTTTTGGCTTCCAGGGGAAGAGGAGATCTGCTTCCCAATCTTGTATTTGGAAAAAAGTAAAGATCTAAGGCACAGCTGGGTGAGAAGGGTATGTGTGCATGTGTGTTGGACCACCAACACTAGTAATAGTTGTGATGGGAGGGGGTTGTTTCTCCTTCAGGGCCAGTTGCCATAAAAGCAAGCTCCCTCCCATTGTTTTGAAGCTGTAGGTCAAGTGATAAGTCAGGGATGGGGAACCTGCAGCCATCTACAGTTGTTGCCCTACATCTCCCATAATTCTCGACCTTTCGCCCTGCAGACTGGGGCTGATGGGAGCTGGTTTCCAACAACATCTAGAAGGCCACGGGGTCTCCATCCCTGTTGTATGGCAAGGACACATCCCAGCCAAAGGAATGCACATGGCAGATAGTTAGCTCTTCATTGT